GATAGAAACACCTGCCTCATCGTATCACATGGTTCTTGAAATGCTTTCTTTTTCTCTTGAAGACAAGGCACTGTAACATGTTGGTCCCATTTCACTTCTCGTGAAACATATGGATAAGAAGTTTTTTTTGTCAAAGTTTTGAAAATTCAAAGGAAGAGGTAGCATACTTTCCCCTAAATTAAGAAATGAACAAACAGAGCACTGGTGTGTTTTATGGTGTATATAAACTTTGGATTGCAACAAAGTAATCCACTGACAGAATTGGCGAGATCCAAGGTTCTGAATAGCTGATTTATGCAACATGAATCCATGAATGGAAGCATGCATGGGTTAGGGTGGGGGATATCTACCCTGGAGAGATCATGAGATAAAGTAGGTGGAAGAACCAGCAACAAATCTTCTCTTGCTCTGTTTTTTTTTTTTTTTTTTTAGCACAGAAGTCATTGAGTCCCAATGCCTTCCACCAATAGAAAAATCTCTTCAGTTCATAAGGGATCAGCTCTGTATTGAACCACTGAAATAAATCTTACCTAATTAATTCCTTGTTTTTTTATTGCTTTTTCCTGAGTGCTCCCAAGTTTATTGCATTGTAGTCCTGTAAAAATGCAAACAAAACATCAGAATGTGAGCAGCAAAATGGAGTCAGAAACAAAAGCTGAGAAAGCAGAAAAGAGTATTGATTATTATTAAATCCATGAAAAGGATTTTGGAAACAGGATGGTTAGTTCTGCCATTAGTAGTTGCACTGGCATGGTAAAATTGATTTACTGATCTGTCCCCCAGGTAGATTTACTTTTGTGTGCCAGCCCCATACAATGCAGGAAGGTTATCCTCTAATCCAGGGGTGTCAAACTGCCAGCCCGCAGGCCAGTTGCATCATGCAGAGGCTGTGCCCACCCCAGATCTGGCAATGCGAAAAAAGTCACAATACGTCACAACATGTCACGTGATGCGGCGAGTTTGACACCCGTGCTCTAATCATCTCAAAGGAAGCTGGAGATGCTGTTACTTCTTTCTTCTTTTAACCTTTTCCTTCTTGGGAAGAAGAAAAATATTTACACCTTTGGATTAAATGGGGGAAAATTTCCCTTTTCTCATTTCTACTCTATAATGCAGTTTTGGGGGTGATTGGAAATTACCAAAATGACTGACACAGAGGCTCTGTTTTTCATCTTTGAAACATTATTTCATACTTAGGAGTAACTAGAATTGACTAACTCTCAAGTATTTCATATGTCATGAAAGGAGTTAGTTGATCCAGGAAGCTGACCAGGGCAAGATGGGGTATGTCTATATCTAAAATGTTCTGCACTAGGTAATTGTGTCTTCTTTTGTGTGCGTGAGTTAGTACACCTTCCACACCCAGTGACTCAGTTCTAGTTTAATCATGTAAACGAGCAACTCAAGATTGAAGCAAGCTTCTCGCAATTCATGAGCAATCAGGAACTGTGTTCTTTTGTGCTCTTCTTATGCTGATATGAGGCAGACATATCAATTTTCATTTCCTTCTTTTTTTTGTTGCTGTCCGAGTCCATCGCTTCTATGCTGGAGCTTGTTTAGCACCAGAAAAGTAAAAAAAGAAAATCAAGTTAGTAGGTATAATAGAAGCCTTGTCACTTTTTTCATGCATATGAAAGAGCCATGATGGTGCAGTGGTTAGAATGCAGCATTGAGGCTAACTCTGCTGGCTGCCAGCAGTTCGATCCTGACTGGCTCAAGGTTGACTCAGTCTTCTAGTCTTCTGCTGTAGGTTAAATGAGGATTCAGACGGTTGGCCCACAATATGCAGACTCTGTAAACCACTTAGAGACGGCTGTAAAGCAGTATGAAGAGGTATATAAGTCTAAGTGCTGTTGCTATATCATACATGCAATGCTATTAAACATTTATAGGCCAGCGTTGAGGCCAGCTATCTTGATTCTTTTGACTCTCCATAGATGCCCATTTTGCACCCTGGCAAACAGCTCCCCAAAACTGGCCTTGCCACAACCCTAACCCTAACCCTTTTGAATTCTCACTTGGGAAATATTACTGGTAATTATTCCAAGTTTGCATTTCTTTATTCTGAGTTCTATTGGACCTGGTGCATATATTAGAAGCATAACTTGTCATGTATAAACCATCCTTTGCAGTAAAACATATTCATGCATTCATGGAGACAGATATAAACGTAAAACAAAGGTCAGTAATATGACAGGTAGGGCACCATTCATTGTCTAGAGATAATAATTAGGAGAAGACATTGACCATCTTTTGAACAAATCCCCATAATATTCTTTGTGATGTATTTCTTGCTTGAAAGCAATATTGTATTCTTTCTATGCTTTGCTTCTATTAATATCAGATTACCGTTACCTCTATGGAGTTCTTTCTTTCTTTTTCTGTCATAAGATTATGCTAATCACATCCAATTCAACCAGTTAAAGCAACCAGGATATCAGTTTAAGAAAAATCAAAACAAACAGATATGAAGGATTCTTTGATTAAACCTGGAGTTATTTTAAACAGATGCATCTTGAGGGTCCTTGGTGCTCTCTGTGCTTGTTTGTTTTCTTGCAGACGTTTTATTATCCTAACTAGGTAACATCATCAGTGCTAGTAAGGAGTGCTGTTTGCTGTCAGTTTATATTCTGATGTCTTGTCTATCTGTATGGGTGGGGGCAGTCTTAGGAATTATTTGGTTGGGCTGTTTACTAATGGCTCTTTGGCAGTTTCTTGACTGGGGTATTGCTTACTTGATTGTTGGTCTGATGTTGACCATGGAGTTAATCTATGCTGATCTGAATGCTGATTACTGGTGGGGAGGTGCTGGAGTCTTTTTCTGTTTTGGAGGGGTTGATTGTCTCTTTTGCATAGTCTATAGATGTTGTCAGGGCTTTTTTTCAGCCGGAACGCGGCGGAACCGCGTTCCGGCACCTTTTTCCGGGCCGGCCGCACCGGAAATAGCCCCTCCCAAATTTTACTTGCATTCCTGTTCTCTAAAGGGGCGGTCCTAGGGTTTGATGAGGGCGTGGCCAGGTTTGAGTTCCGCCACCTTTTCTCCGAGAAAAAAAGCCCTGGATGTTGTTAATGTTTATGTGTCTATTGATGGCTGATTTGTCAGAGTGCCAGGCTTTTAGAAATTCCCTGGAACTTTTGGATTTGGCCTGGTCTAGGATTGTCACATTTTCCCAATTGAAACTATGATTAAATCTGTCTATATGCATCTTGTTTAATAAGTTATGCTAAATCAAAATAGACCTGGTTTCTCAAACAGTAGGATTATCAGACAAACCAATATATTATATAGATACATGGCCAAACTTCACAAATCTCATGAGATCTTGAATATCTTACTCTTGAAATCTGTGAGATAAACATTGAGATCATTGTGAGATGAAGAAAGGAAGACAAGTGACAAAATGTGTCTAGTCACTAACCCTGTGACTTTTCTACGTGCTTTTCATATTGGCATGCAATTGCATACACTATGTAGTGTTTCTCAACCTCAGCCACTTTAAGATGGGTGGACTTCATCTCGAAGAATTCCTCAGCCAGCAATGTTGGCTGAAGAATTCTGGGGATTGAAGTCCATGCTTCTTAACTGTCAATGCTGCTAACATTGGTTGTTCTTGCCTTGAGAACATATGAAGATGCAGCCTTTTTCTTTCTTATGCTTTACTCTTAGAATTAGATGATGCTATGGGAGGAGGCGGAATGTGGTGGGAGTTAATTAGACATAACAATATTGTACTAGTGTATCAATTCAGACCTTGAAACAAGAGATGATAAGAATTGGTGGTCAGAGATAAGGAGGGAAAGCCTGCAATTCAAACTAATTGGAGAATGTGATTTATGACTGTTAATTGGAGGAGGGAATTGTGCTTTGATACTATGTACTCAGGGGAGGGGAATTCAGATTTCGGCTTCACCATGTACTGCCAATGCCATGCAACTTGAATAAAGATTCTTTAAGGTAAACAATGCCTCAAAGTTCTTTGAAGAGTTTCATCTGTCGGAACCATGACATTAACATTGCTGAGGTTGAGAAACACTGACATATAGCATTGGCAGTGTTTGTTTTAGGACATCACAATGCATGTCTGGGAATGTTCATGTGATTGCTATTAGCAGTAGGCATCTATGAACGAATCTCTTGAGTTTGGGTGATCTTGCAAAATTAGTACTTTTTTTTCTCCTATTAAGATGTGTCACAGGTACAGCAGTGCTTTGGTAATTTCTTCATTAAAAAAGTAAAGAAAGTATTGGGAAAACAAGAGAACCATCAGATGCTGATACCATTATGAATAAAATCAGTACAATCAGCCTTACTATTATGAAATGTTGAAAATGAAGATTATTCTGACTGCAGCAGTAACCTGTCAGTTCAGCAGCATCTGGTAGCACTGAAGCAGTCAAAGCTTCCCAAATTTCATTCCCTTGGCAGTCAAAGGTACTAAATGTTGGACATATGCTACAAGTTAGCTCGTACAAGGTCCCTTGGTTCAAAAATTGTTGCCCAATGATGCACCATTTTAGCAGTTAAAGTTCATAATAATGAAATTTCAATAGCATGTACATCATCTGCTTTGCATACGTTTTGAGGTTTTGACGCAGTGCAAAGTAGATAAGTAGACAGAAATCACCTCGGTCTCCTACTTCTTTTTTCTTATCCCTTTTCTGAGTGGTATTCTCAGAAGGCAAGGTTGGGAAGGACGTATGGGATCATCTAGTTCATCCCCCTGAATGTGGGGGGGGGGTGGGTACCTGAAAGGCAACCTGCCTGGAGAAACTAACAATTGCTTGAATTCATTCCCCCCCTCTCTCCCTCCCTCCTTCCCTCTCCCCCTCTCCCTCTCACACACACATACACACCTCTTTGCCAGAAAAAGCTCTATCGCTTATGTTCTGGATTAAACACATCCTGAGGTTCCCAGTGCAGACACAGACACAACTTGAGGAGAAAGCAAAAACGGATTCACATGCAAATTCACACACATATACACAAAGGCAACACACACCTGTCCTCCGATTAGACTTTATTACACACAGAAGAAAATACAAAGGCTTCCTAGATCACAACATAAGAAACGGTTGGGTAATTTATTAGCTAGGTGTAGGTACAAAAACATCCAAAGAACATATCCCATTACAAGGAATAATTAGAAGGAAAAGAAAATAACCAGATCCCCAAATTAATAACTGAGAGACGGAATCTAACATATATCAATCCCCAAAGGATTTCTGATATAACCAGATCTTGGTGGTTTCCCTGCATGCCAACAAGGTTGGTGTTGGTTTGATGTTGGATTGTAGACCATTAAACATGCACACCATGCATTTTAAATTGGACCAGAAAGCTAATCAACAACCAACGTAGCTTCCATAACAAAAGTTCAGTCTACTCGTTTTCCCCCATTATCAAGCAGGCAACCAAACTTTTGCTGCTTTTACTATGTTGTAAACTTGTGCAATATATAAATTCTTCCATGACATTTAAATACAATAGGTTCTTCAATGGTTTCATTTCCTTGTTCCTAGGAAAGAAAAAGAAGGATATTGTTAAAGGGAATTAAAAAAAAAAAAGTATAAATGTTTGAACCCATAGGATAAACATAGGTACACCATTGTTTTTCCAGAGCAGATTTGCTAAATAAAAAGAAGACTAAACTGCTTTGTTCTGCTACAATAGGCTGGTTAGGACAGAATCAGGAATCGGATAAATCCGTGGTGGGCTCTTGTCCAATAAACCTGGTGCCAACCTTACTGTGGAGAATCAGGGAGATAATTTTGAAGAAATAGGCAAGGACTGTTATGTAAGGAAAAAGGGCTGAAGCATTTCTTAAATCTGGGAAACAAGATAATATCAGAAAAAAGTCAGACTGGTTCCTCCCTGAATCTTTGGGATAGAAGAGGGAGAGGAGATAAATAGAATGAGGATATTTGGAGCTGCCTGTGTGATTCCCTAAGGTGATAGTGGAGCCACCAAGTTTTTGGTTTATGGTTTTATAGTTATTGGGTTTTATTGTTGTTGTGAGCTACCAAGAGTTTAAGATGGGTGTCCATACAAATCTTTTAAATGAATAAAATTGGAAAGACTATGTCAGGCATGTCAAACTCACGTGATGTCGTGTGACGTATTGCGACTTTTTCCCCATTGCTGGCAATGGGGTGGGTGCGGTTTTGGCATGACGCATCCGGTCCACGGGCTGGCAGTTTGACATGCCTGGTCTATATCCATTAGGGCTTGAAAATGCCAGGAATCATTTTAAACAACAGGCTTGAACATTGGGCCCTATCCAATGGTGGGATTCAAGTATGTGAACAACCAGTTCTCTGTGTGGATGCCACTTTCAGAAGTCCATTCTGGGCCTGGGCAACAAAAAATTAGCTACCGATTCTGCCAAAGTGGTGCAAACTGGCTGAATCCCACCACTGGCCCTATCTAATAAAAGGAAATTCAATGTAGAGAAAAGTAAGGTTTTACACTTAGGCAAGAAAAACCAAATATATAAGTATAGAATACGTGGAATTGCTCAATAGTAGCAACTGTGAGAGGGATCTTGGAGCCTAATGGACAATCACTTAAATATGAGCCAGCAGTGTGCAGTGACAGCCAGAAAAGCCAATGCAATCCTAGGCTGCATTAATAGATGAATAGAATAAAGCCTAACTAAGGAATATTAGATGGAGATTAATCAAGGAGAGAACCAACCTAGAACTTCCTAATGATGAGAACAATTAACCAGTGGAATGGCTTGCCTTCAGAAGTTGTGGGTGGTCCTTCATTGGAAGCTTTTATGAAGAGACTGGACAGCTATTTGTCTGAAATGATATAGGGTCTCCTCCTTGAGCAGGGTTAGAGTAGAAGACCTCCAAGGTCTCTTCCTTTTTGATTGAAAGGCAGAGCAGGGATAATTTATATTTATAACTCTTTTCAGTTTCTTAGTAGTTTTCATCCATTGTGGTATGGCAAAAACTCAATTCAATGACAAAGCCAGCCAATATATGTCCAGTATAATGAGTGGCTAAATTGTTGGACTTTGACTGGAGATGGCTAAGTTCAAGTCCCCTTTCATCCAGAGATCTCAGTAGATGGTTTCAATCCATTAACTTTCTCTTAGTCCTAATTAGCTCACAACAGTACCGTATTTTTCCGTCTATAAAATGGAAAAGACGCTCTGGTGTGCGAGTTTCTCCATGCCGATCAGCTGTTCGGCAGAGCACCGAACAGCTGAGCCGGCAAATCCAGAGATTCGGACGGCCCACGATCTTGCCCCATTAGGGCTTGACACCTGCACCAGGCGGCATGGCAACCCATACAGGCATGCCCTGGGCTGCGGAGGTTACCATTATTTTTCTGTGTATAAGACGCTGCACTTGTATAAGACGCACCTGATTTTTGAACAGGGTGTCTTATACAGGGAAAAACATGGTATTTTGGAGAGAAAATAAGACTAGGGGAAACTTCCCCCTGTAAGCCATCTTGAGCTCCAAGAGAAAAAGAGGCTATAAAAACATTTGTTGTGTACTAGTTAATGTCACTCCTAGCCAACAACAGCGCCCGTAGAAAGTGAGTACAGCCAAAGGTTGGAGACTGATCAAAATGCACTTCAGCATAAGAATTAGAAACTTCATGCTGAACTTACCATAAAATCTCTGAATTCTTTGTCTGTCGTTACTTGGGAGACGGAAGTAGTTTGGGTTTGTGTAAGTATATGTTGGGTACATCAAAGAGCCAATGACATTAGAATGGCTAAGTCCTAAGGCATGACCAAATTCATGTGCAGCAACAAGGAACAGGTTGGTCTCTAAAACGAAAAAGAAGAAAAACGAGTCATTTAGCAGAAACTAATATATGGCCTCCTATATCCCAAGATTATACTTAATGCCTTTTCAGGGCTAGAACTCTGTTTGACTCTCATGACAGGGGCCAGGATGAAAATAAGATTGGGTTTAATCTCAGTATAATATAAAATGTGATTTCCCTTGTTATACAAACATTGCAATTCAGGGGCAAATGTTTCAGCGGTCTTCAGGTATCGCCGGATTGCTAAGTTGTGATTGAGTACTCTTTGTTTATGACGTTATCGGTCTTGGCAGTAACTTTTATTATAAAATAGATGAGCAATAACCTCAAATAGTTAATGAGTGACTTACCTCTGTTATACTCTGACCATCTCTCTGCTTCATCAAAATGTGCATCTCCCCCAATTCCTGGTCCAGGATAGTAAGCGTGAGCCAAAACACCTCCTTGGCGGTCGAAAGGGTTATTATCACCATGTTCTAAAATTTGAAATGTAACATATAAGCCACCAATGAATAAGACGTTAGGTTAGGAGCATTATGCTGCCATTTTCAACACCCTTAGGTAGACCTAATCCCTTTTTTGTGATTTTCACTATCCATATAATCATGCATTATGAATATGCCAGGGGTGACAGTGATGCAGTGATAACTCCTGGCTTAGCTACAAGACTTACAGAGCTTAAATCATGTCGCCAAAGCGTCTCTCAAGGTGTGAGTGATGGCTCCAGAGGGAGAGATAGGAAGACTGGAATGTTAACCAAACGTTGGCTAGTCCTCGACTTACAACAGTTCATTTAGTGACTGTTTGAAGTTACCACGGCACTGAAAAAAGTGACTTATGACCATTTATGAGCACTTATGACCGTTATAGCATCACATGATTTACATTTGTATGCTTGGCAACTGGTTCATACTTATGACGGTCGCAGTGTCCCAGGGTCATGTGACCATTTTTTGTGAACTTCTGACAAGCAAAGTCAGTGGGGAAGCCAGATTCAACAACCGTGTTACCAACTTAACAACTGCAGTGATTCACTTAACAAATGTGGCAAGAAAGGTTGTAAAATGGGACAAAATTCACTTAATGAATGTCTCACTTAGCAACATAAATTCTGGGCTGAATTGTGATCGTAAGTCGAGGACTATCTGTAATTGCTTGGGAATCTTTTCAAAGCTGCTTATTTGTGAATGAATGTAATTTTTAAACAGAACCATACCTCTAATTTATATTAACTGAGAGGTATTCCTTGATTAAAGATTTTTCATTTTCTCCCATGTTTATTGTTCAAGCAGGAAAGACATAAAGAAAGGAAGACTCATCATTAATTCTTAGGAAAACCATATTCAGATGCAAGAATCCAAATAGATGGCAGCAAAGACTTACATAAATGGTAACTCTCTGCTTCTATCTAGTGGTCATCTGAATTTTTAAACCCAGCTATGATATGTCTGTGGAGATTCTCAACCATCCAAGTCATGGTTATCCCCAAAGTGCCTTTCAAAAAGCAACTGGATTTTCTTTTTTTTCCCCTTTGAAAATATTTCACTTCTCATCCAAGTAGCTTCTTCAGTTCTAACTGAATGGTAGGGAATGAAAGGGTTTATATTCTTTGCAGTCATCTGGTTGTTAGCACTCTGAAAGTCCATTCTTAAGAGTGCTAGCAACCAGCTGACTGCAAAGAATATAAATCTTTCCATTCTCCATCATTCGGTCAGAACTGAAGAAGCTTCTTGGATGAGAAGTAAAACATTTTCTAGGAAAAAAAGCAAGTAAATTCAGTTACCTTTTGAAAAACATCTTTGGGACACCCAGCTTTGATAATTCTTGGATATCAGGACTATAGACATTGATTTGATCCAAGAGAACTCACAGAATATAGCAAGCAGCAAGTCACCCACAACCGTCAATCGTTTCACAGAACAAAATATTATTGCAGTGGTTTCAAAACAGCAATAATTTTTAAGCCTTGCTAATATATCTGAAATGATCTGAAGAGGTGAGGAAAAGGAAGCCAGCAGAGAAATGGAAAGATTCTTCAATCAATGAAACAATCCCTGATGAATAACTACACAACTATGTAACCTTTTCTTCAACACATGTAGTGAAAAGGGGATCTTTCCCCCACCTTGGTAATTAATTAAATTGCTCATGGTCAATGGAATCTGCCTTCCTTCAGCTGGGTGTGACATCCTTTCAGGTTTTTGAAAAAAGTGTTCTTCCTCTTCTCAAGATTAAATATATCCAGTTCCATCAATATCTCCTCACAGGACAAATGTTTAATTTTTTACATCATCTTGGCAATCTTTCTGTGAACCCATTCCAGTGAGCAATAGCAATAGCATTTAGGCTTATATACCACCCCATAGTGCTTTACAGAACTCTCTGGGTGGTTTACAGTGTAAGAATTATTTGCATATTGCTCCCAACAATCTGGGTGCTCATTTTACCAACTTCAGAAGGATAGAAAACTGAGTTAACCTTGAGCCCTGTCAGGATCGAACTCAGGCTGTGGGCAGAATTAGCCTGCAATGCTGCATTTTATCCACCGCACCACCAGGGCTCTTCAGTTAACTGAAGTTTTTAAAAAACAGTCTACAGCTGGATGACCATTTGAGATGGAGTCTGACCAATACAGATTAGAGTAGAACTACTATTTCCCATGAACTGATGTTGAAATGATTTTAATTTAAGCATCAACCCTTCTAGGGAGGGGGTTGCCCACTGGGTTTTACTCTTGACTCTTCAGCCTTGACTCTTCAAATGTGATCAGTGAAAGCAGAGAAAATGTAAATAATGCTTCAGAAAGGGATAGGAATCGTGTGAAAAATGCATATTTGAGAGCTAGTTGATAAAAACAGGTAACCTTACCACCATGTGCAAAAAATATTTCAATGTCAGCAGGTCTGAAAACTTTCTGGAAACTCAGCGGAGTCACATCACTCCAAACGCGGAATGCCTTTGCTATAGCTGTATTTACCGTGCTTCTTGGCAAATCCGGAGTGTAATTATTAATCCTTTAATCAATAGAAGAATTACAAAATATTACTATGTAAGAAATAATGTAACCGGTAAATTATTTTTATAAAACAACTCCTAAAGATGTAATTAACCTGTATGTGAGCACTCTTTTATTCCAGATTCTTGTTCCAGCTTTATGCCCTTCTGAGACATCTGAGACTCCACATCGGGGCCGTTTCATTACATTTACGGTTTGTTTGTCCATTTTCCCAGTGACCGTCAAATGGAAGAATTCCTGCATTTGTCTGAGTCTCTCTTCCAGGCTGCTGCCATCTTTATGGTACGTTGGGAAGAATTTGTCAAGATAAACCTACATCATGAAAGAAGAAAATCATTAATGTTTAATGCATCTTTTGTACCAGGCTATTTTTCTGAATGCACAGGAAAAAATGTTTAGTCCAGAGGTCCCCAACCTTTTGGGCACCAGGGACCGGTTCCATGGAGAGAGGTTTTTCCACGGACCGGAGGGTGCATGGTTTTGTGTGCTACCTGCATCCTGTGGATGGGGCTTTGCTTGTTTGTGCAGACCAGTTGCTGGCAGGCTGCGGCCTGGTACTGGTCCACGGACTGGGGGTCGTGGACCCCTGGTTTAGTCCATATGATGTAAAGCCAGAAAGTTATATTTGAAGAAATGTAAATGGAACAACTAGGTAACCATCCCTGAACAACAGACACATATGTTACCTGATGCGCAGTGCTGGAGAAGTCTGCTCCATCCTTTAGGCACAAAGCCAGCTTGGAGATGTATGTATATATGTGTGTATGTATATTATATATACACACACATATATCTATCTACCCATCCATCTATCCATCCCCCAAGCTGGCTTTGTATTTCATTATTGTCTTCTCTCCTTGGTTTATAGAGAATCATTCAAACACAACTAGTCACTTACTATGAAGTTAGTCAAATATTCCATAGGATAACACAGTATTTTTGAGATTTGGTTATTCATCTTTACTCTTTTTCAAATTCTAGCATTTTTTAGATTTTTTTTGTGCCATGTTTCCTCATGGGGAAATGAAAGCAACATCCATCAGTCATTAATTGGCCAGAAAATTATATTGGCATAAAACTCGCTATTCCCATTTGCACTCTCTATCCTGCTATAGACTTGATACTAACAAACGGTGCTGTATTTATTTAATGTGTACATTATATTGTACAGTAATTGGTGATTTGCCACCATTTTCATCCTTTCCCACCAAACATTGCCAGTCAGTTTTCATTTATTCGGGTGGCTATCCTGTAAAGCAAGAACCAAATTTTAATGAATATACTCAGGGAAGAGGCAATGTAGTTATCTAATAAGGATGCCAACTGGGTAATTAATAGAGCTGTAGACAAGATACATCATAAGAGATGAGTGCCCATATAAATTTGAAAAATAAATTAGTAAAAATTATGGAAGCCTGTGATAGAATTCTTTCAACAACTAAAAGTTAGACCACTCAATCTTTGACATTTCTTCCAGGTTCAAAGTTCTAGTTATATGACCCATTATCATGAGAAGCTAAGTAGAAGAAGACTGTTCTATTTTTAATGGAATTCAACTGCCATTCCTTACTCCTGCTAAACTTGCCAATTTCTTAAATCACAGATTTATTTATTTATTTTGCTTTTGACACCATAAGCGATGGTCAGTAGAAAGAAAAAAGATATGCGACTTCATAAAAGTAACTTCTCTTTCTCTCTCTGTATCTCTGTCAGTGTTTTTGGAAATGCTCATGTTAAGTTGAAATGCCTATCATAGACTTTGTATATATACAGTATTATATACTTTCTAAACAATAATGGAAAGAAGTTAAACAATTACAAGAGTCAGATCAGGATGGAAATACTTCATTAGGAAAGCATGGGATAAGTCAGCACATGGATGGAATGCCACCATAGAAAACAACACACATAAACTTGAGTAGCATGATGGGGGGAAAAGGCAGTGTTATGGATGCAGAAATAACATACTATGAATGCACAATAAAGATTTATATTACCTAAGTAAATAATTAATTTTAAAATAGTAAAATTTAGGATAGCAGCAGATCTATAGAAGATATGAGGTTTTGATGGAACTTACTTGTAGAAATTTGATGTCTTCAGCACTTGGTCCAACTTTAGCACCAGAATCTAGTGGGATAGCAAATAAAGAAGGCAGAAAAACTGTGGCACAGATCACGATGTACTTCATAATGACCCTAATTGCAAACTCGGTGCTAAAGGAGAAGACTTTGGATCTGTGATGCCTGCCACCCAAGGATCACATCCTGTATTTATAGAGGACCAATGGATTTTACTGCTAGTTCCCTAGTGACTCATTCTATTGTACTGTCTGTGGTTTTGTAAATTTATGTAATGTTTTAAACAGTTTATGTAATATTTTAAATAATTCTACAATAGGTGAACCCCCCCCCCCCCGCTAATGTCAGCCCTACACAGGAAGCCATCGACATCACTCTTGTATTACTGTCTTTTATGACACTAAAAATACAGAAAAACTGACTTCCTTAAATTGAGCTAGAGATATTTATTAGGAAGAATGTGTGAAATTTACTCAATAAAAATGCATTGAATTCTCCCAGCCCAACCTAATTGTGGTGGTGGTAGTAGAAATACAAGACAGGAACATTCAAGAAATGTTGCCAAGAAAAGGAAGGGGCTGAAGTCACAAACAGAGCTGGGCTGCAACAATTCGGACTATTACAAGATGGCAGCCATAAAAATTAAGTTTTGATAGTCATAGGTAAAAATATTTCTTAAGTGTAGGACTCAAGTTAGTGTGAGGTAAAGAAACTGGTCTGGAACCAGAGCCCTGTTAATTGGCCTACAGCGACTTTCTACTTTGTATCTATAAACAAAGAAAACATTGCAAAGGTAATATAAGTAATTTAATAGGATTATTCAGTTTCACTTTTTCTCACATTCAATTTTTTTAAAAATATCAGTGTCACTTCTACTACTGAGGTATTATTTCATGGTGAAGCAGCTTAAAACTGCTGGAAAATAAAAATGAACCCTTTAATTGAATGAAATAAAAACAAATTAAATCATTGTTTTGTCATTTTTCACTGACCTCCCTGATTAAAGCTGTTCCAAGCATACAGAAAATTTTTATCTGATTGCCACAGAACAGCTAATGACCTCAGTGGAATCCATGGGGAGGTATAATAAAAGACAATATGTGGCCCATGACCACGAGACTGAAACCCCCTCTCTGTTTTATATGTATTGTTCTGCATGATCATGTTAGAAAATTAAGTGTTGGAAATCTTCAGAATCATGAACATAGGTAAATGCATTGGATTGCTTACAATATCGTATTAAGCTTATTTTTGTTTGCAAGCTTGCAATCTTTCTCAGCTGAAGGTAATACATAGCTGCCTTTGGGAGAATTTGGAAGGCTACTCAGCAGAGTTAATATCTGGATTGCATCGCATTGCAACTGTGTCCGAGGCCCTGAGGTATTTCTGAGTTGAAAGGATTAGCTGGTGACATTACATACACCTATCTGGATAGGTGTACTGATAGACAAGACTTGAAGGAGTAATGGCCAATGACTTCCATGTAGTGGCCAAGAATGTTACATAGATCCACTTCTACTTATTTTTGGCAACAATTTTGTTTGTATATTGTACTAATGAGTATATATGCATTTTATAGATCTTTTTCTTAATGCATTATTTGTTAATTGTTGTTGAACCTCAATGCACCATTTATAGGACTATTTATTTCAGATGATAACTAATAAAATGCTTACTACTTTCAGTTGTAGTGGTTTGAAAAATATAAACTAACCTTTATAGATAAACTAATCTTTAATTGTGAACTAAACAAATGTTTGTGTAATCTCTATTAGAATCTAACATTAACAGTATTCATCCAGTTTCTTAAGCACTTTCCTTTCTTAAAACATATCTGATTCATGAAATCAAATGAGATCATATGCTGAAGTAGGCATTCTAGCATTGCAGTTCCATGAAAAAGCACAATTGGACAAAAGCTGTGACGTCTGAAATTAAGAGTATCAAATCTGGCACTTGATGCTTAAAGAATGAGTTGACCAATATTAAATGCTGAAGATGGAATCTAAAATAGGTGGACTATATGGGGGTCATATTACTTGTAAGAGTATCACTGCTGCACGTATATAGATTGTGAAAGATTGGAAGAAGCAGAAGTTGTCATTTAAAGAAAGCAGGATGAGGAAATTGTGGCTGATGGTGCCAGTTACTAAATGTTCACATTACCTTTTCCATGTTTGCCACAAAAGACTATGGGAGAAAGTCACCATTGTTCTTGGATTAATGAACTAATTTAATATTAAAACAAGTTAATTTTTCTGTGTTTGTTTTATTTCTTAATTCCTTTAACAAAGAAAAAAACCTGTTAGAATATATATAGGAAATAAAATATATTATAGAAATGCTTGTGGATATTGGGTTTACAACACTGGAAACTGTGGGAAACTCAGGTGCATATCAACCCTCAGCCATAACTCCTATTTACTCTAGGAAAGAGATGAGCAGTTCATTGTAAAGTCTGTGACATAGAATTTACATAACTGGGTGCTATCAAATCAGGGAGCTTAACCAAAAATGTAGGGGATTCAGCTTTTGGTAGCTTTTGGAATAAATATGAACAGGATAATCAATAGAAGATAATATAACAGAAGAGAATAGAAGAGAACTGTGGTGCTCTTTGAGTTTGGTTGTTTGCTTGCAGATGTTTCATTACCAAGCTAGGTAACACCAGTGCAGGAGAACATGGGAATGCTTTGATGCACACACTTAATAATAATAATAATAATAATAATAATAATAATAATAATAATAA